AAAACATATATGCCTAGTGGTGGTGAGCATCTGTTAGTCACTCAGTCATGGCCAACTCTGTGACCCCATGGACTGTAGCCAGGACCCCTGCCCAAGGAATTCTCCAGACAAGAATACAGGAATGGGTAGCCATTTCCTTCTCCAGTTGCCTCTTATTAACTCCATGCTGCCTTAACAAGTATATGATGCAGTTCTAAAAACAACATACACCTAGGAAAAGAATCGGAAAAGCTCAATAGTAGGAGCATTCTTCCTGGAGGAGTGTCCTGAGTAGACACCTGGAAGGATCAGAAAGCTGTGAGGAAACCTTTTGTAGAAGTACATCATGTAACCATAAGTTGAATCTGGAGCAAGTCAGAGATATTTAATTTTTGATAACACTGAGCTTTCAGGGGGACTAATATCAAAAAAAGAGAGAAGTGACATATTTGAAATCTATAAATTGAATTTCATGTTCGTTTGTCACCTCTGGGAAAAGCAAACAAAGTCTCTTCTTTTCCCATGAAGTGGATGATGAATGATCGCTTAGAGTTGGATGGTGTAAGCCCTTGTCGCCATTATTGACTTTCTGTAGAAAGTAGTTCGTCTGTAGTTGTAAGGCATGCAGTGCACCCTCCAAGGCATGAGTGAACTGGTTCTAATCACTAATGGGCTGATCTGAACAGACTAATTACTTTCCTGTTAAAGACAGACTCTTCCTGATGTCTCTACCCTCTTTGCTTCCAAGTAGAAAGCAGGAATTTGTTTAAGAGACTTGAACTCTCAATGGTGCAGGGATCCAAGGATGAAGAGGACTCATTCATTTGTTCATTTACAAAGATGTATGGACCTACTATGGATCAAGCTTTATGCTAAGCAAACAAGTCCTCCTTTTAGAGAGCTCACTTCAGGAATCCTGCTGAGTTTGGAGTCATGCCTTTTATAGAGGCCTTTTAGAGTTCTGTCACTCAGATCATATTTCAGAATGCAGAGGAGTAAGCATAGCAAAAGATCATTATTCAAAGTCATGGGAAGAGCCAAAGGCAGATAGAGAGCCAGTGTAAACTGGGAAAAACAGGGATCACTGACCACGTTTAAGGAATGTGATTGATTATTTTTTGAAGAATAGTCACTAATTTGAAGTTACTATTTTGATAATATTTCCTAGTAGAATACCTTCTTGAGAAGATAGGACTTTATCTATAAATGACATCATTTACATCTAAAGATTGGCTCACACTTATTACTTACACTGTATCTTTTTTCCCAAATAGGTTAAACATTTTCTATTTAGATCTTACTTAAATTCTTTGTTTGCTTATTAACATATTTAATTTTCATAACCTACAAAATGACAGACCAAACTTGAACTCATTGGAAATATAATTACTGAAGGATTCTAATTTGAAGACTGAAATAATAAGATCCCACTAATCCAGTTAATGAAAAAGTTGGCTTAAAACTCAACATTCAGAAAACTAAGATCATGGCATCCAAGGAGGAGAAGGGGACACAGAGGATGAGATGGTAGGATGGCATCACCAACGCGATGGACGTGAGTTTGAGTAGGCTCCGGGAGTTGGTGATGGATAGGGAGGCCTGGCATGCTGCAGTCCATGGGGTCAGAAAGAGTCAGACACGACTAAGCGACTGAACTGAACTGAACTGAATCCAGTTAATAGTTCATCAAGTGCTTTCTATGGTTCAACCACTGAATCAGTTGTAAGCTAATTGTGTTGAAGGTTGTGATTAACTAATTGAAATATGCTGTATACAGTGGTGTGTATTAATTAATGTGTGTATGCATTTGTAATTTTATTGTTGAAGTAGAAATGAATATAGGTAATAATATTAAATGAAAAGAAGGGAAACAATGAAAAATTAAATCCATGATGTGATATGTAGCTGTGGATATAGTAGTAGTAGAAGGGAGCACAAACATCATTTAACTTGTTGAAGGGATAGGGTCCATGCATTTTTCATTTATTTTGAATTCTACTGGCAGTCTTACAAAGTTGTTTTTGCAATAAAAATGACTAAATAAAGATGGATCCAGACTGACCTGTTTGTTTTGAGTAAATTGAAGCAGAGATTTGAAAGAGGAACCACTGGAAAGTTTGTGAGGTCCAGATACATCTAAAATTCTCACAGAGGGATCTTCTGACATCTTCCATAATATCTGAAGTGTCAAATTCCCAAACAGAGGGTTTTATGTAAGAATGTATAGAAATCATGAGATTTTGACCTATATATTTTTCATACCCAGAAGAAAAAACACGGAAAACAGGAGTTTTATTTATTCAATATTAAATATCCATATGTTTCAAAATATTTGCATCATTTTACCTCTCCCATCCCATGTTACTTGGATACAGAATATCTCATACACATGACTCAGAGAATAAATGAGTACCAAAATATACTAAATAAATGATAAGCAAAAAGCAACTTGATATCAGTATATTCTGTAGGCCCAGGGTTTTTATTTTGATGAAGTAGTCTTCCAGGAGAAGCAGGCGGTGAGATCCACACTCGTGGGAAGAGTAAACATATTCTGGTTTACAGAGAAATAGAAAATCAGAGGGGGAAAATCACCTTGCCTGAGACAATAGATGCTCTATAAAATTGAACCTCTTCATATTATCATGGAAATTACTTGTTGGCAGTAGTGTAAAAAGGCTGTTATATATTATTGTTAATTGTGGTTGGAGACACAAAGCAATATGATCATTTGATGACTTATTTGTTATTTAGAAAATGACAGCTTTTATGTGCCAGTAAATAGGAAATCACCTGTAAATATTCTTGTGAATTTAGGAACCATCTGATCGTCCTTGCTTAATGCATACAATAGACTTTAATGATGGCACGGAAGTTTGTACTTAGCAGATTATCAGCTGGTTCCACACCAGCCATCCCTCTGTTAGAGAAACCTATAACTTTGTCAGGATTTATGGTCCATGGACAGTGGCTTCCCTGGAACATAGGATGAGAGGCAATTAGTCTCGAGTTTCGTGTGTGCTCTCCAGCTTGTCCAGACAGGGGCTGACAGCCTTGGCGTTCCGCTCATTCCGCCACATCCCTTTCTCCTCTTCAAGAAGGGCAGGGAGAAAAACAGCAAGGAACCTGAAATCCATCCTTGATAACATAAACACATTCCGGCTGAGTGTGTCTAGTGTGCGGTCCTTGTGTGCCATTTGCCGTGACAGGACACGTCTTTGGAAGATGACACTAACTATCTTGAGGTTTTAATATGATTGTCTCCAATGCCTGAGAAAGCGCTCTGTGTTTGCCTGACACTCTGCTCTTTTATGACAGGGCTCTAGATTTTTCTTTTTTTTTCTTTCTCTCTGTCTCTCCTTTCCCTGGAGCTGCAGCATCCTCAGCTGGTAATCTTTAAACCCTGGGCTGCGGAGGTTTCTCTTCATTCGGCCACACATTAAGCACATCTTTCATGCCTCTCTGAACCAAACGCAGAGAGTGCCAATTAATAAGTTGATGGGGAAGAAGTCAGTGGGCAGCATTAAGGCCACCTGTCTGGAGGTGTTAGGTGCGCACTTTGACTGAGTGAAAGGCAACCTGCAGAGTCTGGAATGAGGTACTTTATCACATTCCTAGAGGCAGAAAATGAGAGAATAAAAAGCAGTTTACAGGGCAGCTCCTGCATCTTGCTCCCATTGTGGATTCTTCACACTGCTCTGTCCAAGGTTAACCCTCAAAAGGAGAAAATCGCAAGCCTTCAGAGCTGTGGCTTTTTACATGAATCTAGGGTATTCTCGTGTCTAAGGCTAGAGATGGAGAGGGCATTCAATGACTTTTTTCCATGAAACTTCCACTATATCTGTCCAAACTGTTCTGTGCATCTTTCTAAGTCTTTGTGACTGCTCTGAAAACTCTTTTCATCCATCCCTTTAACTCATGTTCATTAATTTGGTAAATATCTATTGAGTATATAATATATGCTGGACCTCATTCTAGCTGCTGGGAATATACCTATGGGGGATAAAAACAGAGAAATGTCAAGTATCACTATTCTCATGGAGTTTATCTTCTAAAGAAAGTATATAGACAACAAATAAACACTCAGAGAAGGCATTTGAATACACAGCCTTTGACTCAAGATTCAGAAAACCAGGCTAAAGGCTGGATGATGGTGGATATTGTTCATATGAATAGAAGTGTAAGGTAAGTGCAGAGAAAAAGAGAGCAAGCTGGACAGTCAGGCAAGAAAAGGAAGATTTCTTAGAGGGAAAAGAGAGGGTGACTGGCCCTTAAGGAGAACCAGTGTCCTCCTTTCTGACGGAGTCCCACCAATGAAAAATTCTCCAAAGGAATGGTCACGTAGCCAGAGGTCTGCAATCTGGTGGTCTCACAGCTTTGAGAAGATAGGCACCAGTGAGATAACAGGATGCCCTTTGGGCAATTTGGTCACTCTCAAGAATCACTGTGATTCATTCTTTGTTTGCGAGGTCGACATAATGAGCCATCTTGTCAGTGAGAACCCATGTGAAACCGATTAAGAAGGGCCTGTAACAGAGAAAAATCTAATGGACTCCAATCCTATGGCTATTGGTATTCCTTTCCACCTTTCTCACAAATACCTGTGACAAGTCTTGCTCTCTCATCCCTCCAAATGGAGACTAGACAGGGCTCACTAGGAATGTGGGTTGAGGTCAGGAGAATAATAGAAAACATTTCAGATTAAGGAAATAACATTTAGGGGTGGGGTGTCAAGGAGCCCTATTGGAGGAAAGAAAACTCACTCCTCCATTTCTTCCCTCCCACCACCACCCCTCACCCCTCCAACCCCTGCTTTTAACTTGTCCTACCTCTTTCATTTCTTGATGAAAACATTTTCATGACCTTGGTCCATGGCAGGAGAGTGAACCTGACAGTCAAGGTCATTGTTTGGCCAATTGTTCTTCACCTGCTCCTTCTCCCTTTCTTGTCAAAAATTTAGCTCATCTTTAAGCTTTGTAAATTTACGTTTCTCTTGTTTTCTTTTCCATAATCTGCCACAGATTATGTTGCTCACAGACCCAGAGATTGAGAGCAGTTTACTGATCAGCTCGGACGAAGGGGCAACCTATCAAAAATACCGGCTGAACTTTTACATCCAGAGCTTACTTTTCCACCCCAAACAAGAGGACTGGATTCTGGCATACAGCCAAGACCAAAAGGTGAGTGTGATCACCTTGCTCGAGACAGTGGTGCATGGTTGTCCTAGGGAACAGCAACCACTTAGTCATCTCTGTATTTCTTCTCAGTGGTCAGGTTTGTTATGTGCAGGAGCTTGAACCCTGTGCCTCTGGGGCAAGGAGCAGGAATGTGGATCTCAGGCTGCTTGCCTGAGCTGTGTGTAGATGTCTGTAACAGCATGCAAAGGAAAAGCTAGACCATCAGGAAGATGTTGTGGAGAAGCAGTTCTTACCTGCAAGTTTCAGTCCGTCGACAGCCCCCGACCCCCATGGAATCTGAGACAGTTTTGTGTGTGTGAGATATAATCATTTTTTGCAAAGGACGCCCTAGGTTTTCTCAGAGCCTTAAAGGGCAGGATGGCTCTGAAAGAGTTAAGAGCAGTAGCTAGCAACTTGTTAAAATAGTGAGAGAAATGTACATAGATGACATTCAGAATCAGGTAATCCAGGACTTTTCTTCTCTTGGTGGTTAGGCTGAAGGATAAGTCTATTTTTTAAGAAGGCATTGATTGATGTTATGCAATTGTATGTTATAAGCATGTTATGTTTATTGTATGTTTATGTGTATATGCAAGTGCATGGCAATATGTATATGTATTTTATGGGATAAATAGTGTAAAATATATCATGTACTCTATACTGCAGATGGGCTTCTCTAGTGACTCAAATGTTAAAGAATCTACCTGCAATGCAGGAGACTCATGTTCAATCCCTAAGTCAGGAAGATCCCCTGGAGAAGGAATGGCTACCCATTCCGGTACTCTTGCTTGAGAATTCCATGGACAGAGAAGCCTAGCAGGCTACAGTTACAAAATACATATAGCCCCTGCTTTTAAGGAACTTACATTTTCAGGTAGACTATAAGGCTGGCAACAGCAAATACAATCAGATTAAAATTAGAAGAAACAAAATATACAGAGGCACATGTGAGAGAAAACTTTAAAAAAAGCCAAAAGGAACATAGCTAAAATATTGGAATATTTTTTGTGAAATGCATGGTTCAGTGAGGTCATTCTGAACATTCTCTTTAGAGGACTTGTAAGTTACAAAGGACATATATTTAAGGAAATACTGGACTTAGCTGAGTGAGGAGGGTGTTTGAGGATTTATCCATCTGGACTGGTATAGACATGTGGGGGTTCTTCCTGATGAGACAGGAATGATACTAGCAACTTTTCAAGGTCTCTAACTGACATGAGCATTTTTTGAGGAGGCAAATTAAAATTCTTAGGATTGGAGTTTTATTCATGCTGCCCTTACTGCCAAATAAAATCACATTAGCCTAAAAATAGAAAAGATTTGCAATTAGTATTTTTTTCCTCTTGAGCAGCCTGGCTCCCCTTTCAGCGGAATGTACAATTTCATTCCTGGAGTCAAGCCACCGTGCATTTGGTCCAGGATGGTGCAGTTACCAGAGGCAAAGCTGAGCAGCTCAGAATACAGAGTATTAGACATTTAATCCACTGGGCTTTTGTATTGTATTTGACAGTTGGTTAATTTTCCCTTGATGCCAGAGGCATAGTGAGGGCCAGATTTACCTGGCTGAGTGAAAACTATGCATCTTTGCAGTTGTGTTGGAAGAAAAGGCCAAATATGTAACCCTTCATGTGCCAGCACTTCAGACAGTAGCCCCATGACAGCAGTGGCAGAGTGAATTACCTTGGAGAATTTAGGGCATGTGGGAGTTATGGCCCCAACTCAGCCATGTATGGTACTTGGGGTCAGCCTTCTTTGCCTTAAAATGTGTTTGTGTGGGTAGGTATAATTGCAGGTGCACTTCCACTGAGGTTGAAAAAAGATTAGGCTCTGTTTTACGTGCTCCGTGTGGTGCACTGTTGGTATAAAACAGCTATATCAAGTAGTATTCAGTCAACCTAGGGAAAGAAAATAAACACACATGAGTTTAGTAGTCTAAGAGGTTCTAACAAAGCAGATAGAGCCTTTATCCACACATAGTAGACACCCAATCAGAGTGAGTTCGATGGATTCTATGAAACTGGCAGCCCAAAGTATAGGAGATGAAGATCTTATGATTTCACCTGGACTTTAATGACTATGTCATATTTCATTTTGGGGGGAGGCACACTTTACACAAGAGGAATGTCATAAACAATAATGTAAGTTTGTATAGTTAGAAAACTCATGTTAACAGGATCGTGAATATGTTGATTTGGCTGAAACTGAAATTTTAGAAAGTTAATTATTCATGTACTCCTAGACCCACTCTTATTTTTTTTGAACTGTTTAGACTGTTAGGAAAAATAATTTTTGTTTTTCTAATTAGGAGCCTTTTGAACATTTTGGTCAGTGGATTTATGTGTTCAGAGCTATAGATTACAAAAATTAACCTGGCAGTAGTATTATGATGAACTGTGGCACTATGAGGTCAAAACCAAGAAGACCAGTTAGGGTAATATCATAGAATTCTTGGTCTGGACCAGACTGAATGAATTCTGTCCTTTTACAGGTAGAGGAAGCCTTAACAATCTTTGTTCTGTATGTAGCTGACAAACCAAAAATCTGAGAAGATTTTTCCCCAAAGGGGAAAACACTCATTAGTATCACATGTCTAAGTTAGGCAACTGGAACCTGAGTAGAGTTCCACTAAATGGATGGTGATGTCTGGAGATATCACCAAAGGGATAGAAGCCAGCCTATCTGCTAAGCTCTGTTTCTCTAGAGGAGAATGAAGGAGAGATGATCCTGGGAACAAAGAATTATGAGAAACCCACTAACAGAAGTAGGGGTTGGGTAAGGGCTCCATATGTCAAGATTTGAATCACAGAATGAAGAGTGGTCCATTAGCAATGAGGGGATTGGGGTGCAGTCATCCGGTGAGCCACTAGCTGGTGGAGTTGGCCTAAAGTCAAGTGGAGAAGATGTGTGGCCACTCCAGTGGGCCGGTGATATGGAAATAATAGCTGTAGTCATCCACAAGTTGCAGAGCTTTTAGCCCTGATGAGAGGCAGCAGTAGGCCCCAGTGAGGGTCCCATGCCGGTGTTGGCAGGTGGGTGACTTAGGAAACAGGAGTGTTCATTCTTCCATGTAAGTATTGCTCATCAATGTGTCTGACCGTCACTGCTGCTACAGAGCTCTCTGCGAAGATGGTGGCCTAAGTGCTGGGCTTCACTCTGCCGAGTGCTACTTCCCATCAGTCTGTGGTGAAATACTGTGGGTTAGAAAGCACGGAGGTGGCAGCTCCATCAGAGCTCCCCCGCGCGCAGACCTCCTCACCTCTCCTCCGTCCTTGGCTGTCGGTCTCTTGAAGCATGCTTCCTCTTTTGAATACGCAGCCACCTTTACTTTTCCCTTATTTCCCTGCCATAGCTTTCTCTCTCCTTCTGTGAATGAGGCTTTGAGGGCCCCAAGGACACAGTCTGGAACTCTGGCTCACAGGAAAGAGCCCATATGGGCCGCGGCGCTCTGCCCTGACTGCGTCTCATCTTGAGTGTCTGGACTCTCAGCGGAGGCTTTTTGATGTGAGCATTTTAAGGGACTTGAGAGACTTTGGTTGAACAGATTGTCCTTTCTGGCCCAAGATAGAGTTTTACTGGCCATCAATTTCATAGGAAGCCAGATTTTTTTAAAAAAAAAGAGAAGAAAAGCTTTTAATCAGAGAGAAATGTGTATAGCCAAATGCCCTTGAAATCCATAAAACCAGGATATTTTGATATTTTGCCTTTCTTTCTTATTTTTTCTTAGATAAAGAAATCTACCTGTGATTTTCAACATCTAGGTGGTTGCCAAGAGGTAAAAGTTTTCTTGAATAAGCATGTGACTCTCCAGCCACCACTAGAATAATTGAAGAGAAAAGGCTTGAGACCCACTGAAGCTCTAAAAGAAGCAACCTGCCTTATAAAAAGCCCTGTTGGGGGACTTCCGTGGTCTAGACACAGGCGATAGACTCCTTGGCCTCTGAATGTGAGGCTGTGCATTTGGAAAGCCCTGAGATTTTCAGAAAAATAAGTGGTACAGACATTATGGAAAGTTTGTGTCAAATAGGCCACGGTAACCCCGTCACATACAGTCACACTCTTTCGGCTTCTTACAAACCAGCAGTGAATCACTGTGGATGCCGTGAAGAGTTCTGTGGTGTTTATTCCAGGAGCACCAACCATCTCACGCTCCTTTATTTATTTGTTATTTCTGTAATTAAGCAGGAGGCAAACCAAACATTCTGCTCATTGCTTTTGTGACTTTGCATTTGGAAACCGAGCAGCCGGGAGAACAAAGATACAGAGCTTCCCCTTCCTTCCATGTGTCCCCACCCCTTCTTGCCTCAGTGCAGGAAACCACCCAAGCAAGGCTTAGCAGCAGGCCGAGTCTGCCAGATTACATCTTTATTTTAATTTGGCAATAAACTAGTGTACAAACTGTGCTATAAAACATTGCCTCCAACAGCATCTCTCAGTCTGTCTTAAACACCTCACTAAACATGATGTGTTGGGAAACATTGGAAATGAGAGAAAACAAAACGCAGATGTGACTGAAAGGAAAGAAAAAATAGAAATTTGCAAGAAGAGGCATCTAAATCAGTTCTGCTGACCATCCTGGGGTGCTGGGCTCGAGGCCTCTCTGTTAGGGGTTGCACCGAGAAGTGATTTGTACAGGGGAGGGTCCACAGTGTTGTGAAATCAACGTGAACACTCCCCGGGCTCAGACTGCCTGATTGCTGGGGAGGAGAGACCCTCTTGTTTGGCTTATTCAGACTGGCAAGGCCCTTTCCTTGGGCAGCTTTGCAAACCTACCTGCTGCCCCAACCACTAGCAGAAGGGACCACTTTTCTCCCATCCTCTGTAGCCAGCTTCTTCTCCCCACCCTGTGAATGCCACGTCCTTTTAAGCCACAAACTCAGTTCCTACACAAACAAGCAAGAATCTGAACAGAGCAGCTGGGTTTGGGCTGTGGGAGACTGGGGAGCAGGTCTGCATTCAGGACAGTGGGTGGATGGAGGTAGAGGGTCTTGGTCAGCTTCAGGTTA